AGCAGTAGGTGCAGCAGCAGCAGCAGCAGCAGCAACATGGTGCCGGATCGGGAGGCAGCAACAGCAGCACCTGAACACCAGTAATTGGCCCGGCATTGTGGCTGCAACAATAGCCGGGTATCTAGTGCTAAAGATTTATTGATACTGAAAGTCGATTTGAGCAATATTTTGCCGAGTGAAGTTGGAGCGATGGGCGGTAATAAGGGAGTTGCAATCAGGCGTGTAGCAGGCAGCGCTACACCGGCAAGAAGCTTTACACAGATTAATGACAGCAGATGGAAATGCTTTAGTGATGCTCTGCTTGTTAGATTATGGCGTCGTCAGCCTCCTGCACAGGTGTCTACTGATCAATACTCACCTCACTCCCCACCCAAACATTTCCTATTTTATATATATATATATATATATATATATATATATATATATATATATATATATATATATATATATATATATATATATATATATATATATATATATACGCATATACATTTATGCCTCTCCTACTTTGATAGAGTAAGATAGCTGCTGAACAAAGTAGTGTATTATTAACCACTTAACCACTGAAGGTGATTAAGATACTTTCACAAGCTCAGGTTAAAATTACATCACGTCCAATTGTATAACTAAAGCATTACATAACCAATCTTGGGTACAGGGAGGGGGGGGGAGTGCTACCCACGAGCCCTACAGCATATATGACAATGATAACTGAACAGTTACGATCAACAATGCACCAGACAGTTGATGATAAAGAGCCGGGGCCCGAGAGCTAGGCCTCCCTCTCCGTAAGCACTAGGAGATAAGCACTGCAGCAACAGTTTTTCCAGCCTCAGGTGTTCACGGCGCGCATTGATGCGAGACTGTTAAACGTTTTTTGTTGAGCAATCACTGTCACGCCACCGACCTGCATTGAGCGGCCCGGGGCACAGTGGAGGGGTATGGGGGCGGGCGCCATCACCACCATATGGGTATGAGGGAGACTTGCATTGGGAAATGCAGATGGGCATTGTGAGGGGCATTGTGAGGACGGGGAGCAATGCAGGTGGTGGCGGGGCAGGTGAGGAGAGAGAGGGGTCGGTGGGGGGGGGGGGAACTGTGGCCCGTTAACAACTACTGTCTACCTCAGGTACTACCCTGGTACAGTACGTTCCTTGGTACACTAACCTGGTACATTACTTTAGTCCACCAGGTAATAATGCATCAAATAAACTTCTATCTGCGATTCTGAGAGTTGTCTAAGTGTGTGTGTGTGTGTGTGTGTGTGTGTGTGTGTGTGTGTGTACTCACCTAATTGTGCTTGCGGGGGTTGAGCTCTGGCTCTTTGGTCCCGCCTCTCAACCGTCAATCAACTGGTGTACAGATTCCTGAGCCTATTGGGCTCTATCATATCTACATTTGAAACTGTGAATGGAGTGTGTGTGTGTGTGTGTGTGTGTGTGTGTGTGTGTGTGTGTGTGTGTGTGTGTGTGTGTGTGTGAATAATAGTATCAAACTTCAATTGCAACAGTTGGATTCGTGGTAGCAGCAACAACAGCAGCTGGATCCTACTTTCTCACTCAACAAGATGAGCATCACCAACACTCTCCACCTCTTCCCAATCTTCATTTCCTTGTACTTCAATCCTGTTAAGTGCAAAATAATGAAGATGCGGAAGAGATAAAGAAGACCAGACGGTATCCACATCATAACTGACCCGGAGAGAGAGAGAGAGATTTGGGAGTGGATATAATTCCAACATTAACACCAGAGGAACACACAGGTAGGGTGACGTCGGCAGAATATTGGACGCTGGCAAACATTAGAACATCGTTCAGAAACCTAAATCAGAACTCTTTTAATGCAATCTACACAGCTATTGTTCGACCAATACTGGAATATGCAGCAATGGCCTGGAATCCATACCTTATCAAGCATAAACAAATTAATTTAAAAGTACAGAGATTTGCAACTAGGCTAGCGTCAGTGCTCAGAGGGTTTAGCTGTCAGGATAGCTATAACACAGTAGGTACATCAAGGCTAGTAGGCATAAACAGCTAGCCCTCACTTCCCCGTAGTCACTAATAGATAGGTATTGATAGGTTAGTACCATCATCACCAGCACCCTCCACTATCATCACCACCAACACCCTTCACTATCATCACCACCAACAACCTCTACCATCATCTTCCATTGCCACAACGACCAACGTATCCAGGACCTTTACCACGTTACTCCACCCCAACAATCCACCGCCCATGCCTTATCCGAGAGTTCCCAGGCAATGCAACAGGGCCGGCCACAGTGGCAAGAGCAATGCAGGTAGCGGCCCGAGGGGACGGGTTCAACACACTGCATTTCTCACCCACTCCAGCACCCACTGACATGTGCTGGGAAAAAAATAGACAATTTAGTTTTCAATGCAGGTCCCTGAGCGGGCTAACGTGACACTTCTTGTCGCTTGGATTAACGTCAGGGAAGAGTGGGGTGGGCTTTTTGTCACTTTTATGTCTGTCTGTCTGCACATGTGTCAGTCTATCTATCTATATGACTGTCTGTGTCTGTTTATTTCAAAGTCTAAATCACTTTGAATATATGTTGGAATATATTTCCGATTGACTTCCTGTCGTTTTCCTGCAAGTGCTTCTCTTTCTCTGTCATCTGCCAGCATGCCTTTTCATACTGACTGTTTGCATACTGCCTTTGAACTTGATGTCAGTGAATGCTTGTCTGCCTTTGTACCTGTTTCCTTTTGTGTATATATCTGCTTGTGAGGTGTTTGTATATTAGTCTGTCTGTGAGTCTTTCTCTTGCCTGCCTTCTTGTTGTAATTATCTCCCTGGTTTGGTGTTGGGCCTTAGGCCTATCAAGCTCTGCAGGGTTATAAAGGCCGCCACAATTGCCTACTGACCAAGCAGCAACTGTTCTTTACTCCTGAACATAATTTAGGACTAAAGTACATTCTCAGTGTGTATACACCTAGAGGTAGGGTATACCTCTCCGTGTGCTGACCTAGTTGTGCTTGCGGGGGTTGAGCTATGACTCTTGGTCCCGCCTCTCAACCGTCAATCAAGTGATGATGGTGAATATACTCCTGTGTGCCTGTTACCCTTACAGGCATGATTTCCACTCACCATTGATGACACTTGCCCCCGTTGTCACCCTTCACTGTTGACACCCTTCACTGTTGTCACCCTTCATTCATGACACTCTTCACTGTTGCCACCCTTCATTCATGACACTCTTCACTGTTGCCACCCTTCATTCATGACACTCTTCACTGTTGCCACCCTTCATTCATGACACTCTTCACTGTTGCCACCCTTCATTCATGACACTCTTCACTGTTGCCACCCTTCATTCATGACACCCTTCACTGTTGCCACCCTTCATTCATGACACTCTTCACTGTTGCCACCCTTCATTCATGACACCCTTCACTGTTGTCACCCTTCATTCATGACACTCTTCACTGTTGCCACCCTTCATTCATGACACTCTTCACTGTTGCCACCCTTCATTCATGACACTCTTCACTGTTGCCACCCTTCATTCATGACACTCTTCACTGTTGCCACCCTTCATTCATGACACCCTTCACTGTTGCCACCCTTCATTCATGACACTCTTCACTGTTGCCACCCTTCATTCATGACACTCTTCACTGTTGCCACCCTTCATTCATGACACTCTTCACTGTTGCCACCCTTCATTCATGACACTCTTCACTGTTGCCACCCTTCATTCATGACACTTCACTGTTGCCACCCTTCATTCATGACACTCTTCACTGTTGCCACCCTTCATTCATGACACTCTTCACTGTTGCCACCCTTCATTCATGACACTCTTCACTGTTGCCACCCTTCATTCATGACACTCTTCACTGTTGCCACCCTTCATTGATGACACTCTTCACTGTTGCCACCCTTCATTCATGACACTCTTCACTGTTGCCACCCTTCATTCATGACACCCTTCACTGTTGCCACCCTTCATTCATGACACCCTTCACTGTTGCCACCCTTCATTCATGACACTCTTCACTGTTGCCACCCTTCATTCATGACACTCTTCACTGTTGCCACCCTTCATTCATGACACTCTTCACTGTTGCCACCCTTCATTCATGACACTCTTCACTGTTGCCACCCTTCATTCATGACACTTCACTGTTGCCACCCTTCATTCATGACACTCTTCACTGTTGCCACCCTTCATTCATGACACTCTTCACTGTTGCCACCCTTCATTCATGACACTCTTCACTGTTGCCACCCTTCATTCATGACACTTCACTGTTGCCACCCTTCATTCATGACACTCTTCACTGTTGCCACCCTTCATTCATGACACTCTTCACTGTTGCCACCCTTCATTGATGACACTCTTCACTGTTGCCACCCTTCATTCATGACACTCTTCACTGTTGCCACCCTTCATTCATGACACCCTTCACTGTTGCCATCCACCATTGATGATACCCTCTACTTTCGCTGTCATCAACGTTCTGTTGTTACCACCCGCCAGTAAGAAGCGTGTGTGACCGGCCAGCAACTTCCCCTAAGGTGTAACAGCTGGCAAGAAAGAAGTGTCTATGTGAACATTTGGACTGGGACGGAGAGGTACACTCTTGACGCACTTTCTGGGGTGTTTCTTAAAATGTTTGCTTGGATGTTTCTGGTGTGTTTCCTGGGGGTGTAATTTGTGTTGCTTCTTGGGTGTTTCTTGAAATAAAGATCAGCTGGGTTTACGGCACTGGTAACCCTCCTTTTCTCTCCAGGAACTCTCCTCCCATTGAGAAAGAGGAAGCAGGAAGAACAGGAGGAGCAGGAGGGATAAGGAAGAAAAAGAGGAAGAGTGATAAGGAATACCAGAAAGGATAAGTTAGACTGGAGGAGGAGGGTATAAGGAAGACCAGGAGGAGGAGGGATAAGAAAGATAGAAGGAGGAGGGATAAAGGAGATCAGGAGGAACAGGAGGGATAAGGAAGAGGAGAGATTAGGAAGAGAGGAAGAAGATGGATAAGGAAGACATAAAGAGGATGGATAAGGAAGAGGAGGTATAAGGAAGACAAAAGGGAGAGGGATAAGGAAGAAGAGGTAACATAAAAAGATAAAACATTGGAGAAGACAATTACAGGAGGAGATTAACTGCTGGTGGTGTAGAGGCGCGTGTGTACACCTGGCTACACCCCCGGGGTCAGCAGTGTCGTGTGTGTCCCACATGTGTCGTGCACATATTTAATGTACACCATGTGACACAGGTGTTTTGCATGTGTTTAATGGCAGGGCACGTGGCACAAGTGGATATATTACAGAGATGGCCAGACGCACACATGGAAGTGGTGTTGGTGGAGGGGTCACTTGACGGATGGGTCACTTGACGGAGGGGACACTTGACGGAGGGGACACTTGACGGATGGGACACTTGACGGAGGGGATACTTGACGGAGGGGACACTTGACGGAGTGGTCACTTGACGGAGGGGACACTTGACGGAGGGGACACTTGACGGAGGGGACACTTGACGGAGGGGATACTTGACGGATGGGACACTTGACGGAGGGGACACTTGACGGAGTGGTCACTTGACGGAGGGGACACTTGACGGAGGGGACACTTGACGGAGGGGTCACTTGACGGATGGGACACTTGACGGAGTGGTCACTTGACGGAGGGGCCACTTGACGGATGTGACACTTGACGGAGGGGCCACTTGACGGAGGGGATACTTGACGGAGGGGACACTTGACGGAGGGGATACTTGACGGAGGGGACACTTGACGGAGGGGACACTTGACGGAGGGGACAAGACTGTACACCAGCTTGTCCTGGTCATCCGGGCACTTGAAGCTGTTGCCCACAAGTCTTTAACCTTGAACATAGCATTACCAAAAATACACAACTCTTTATGGGGTTATTCCAATATTATTTCATCACAACTACAAGTCATGATGATAGGTAAGAACTGGGATTTAACAACAGTACCATATATATAAAAGACGAATTATGTGCATCTTAGTTTTGACAACATAAGCTTGCATGCAATTTCTATTATGCTGCAGTTGATACATTCATACACATTTTAGTTTTTTTGGCACTGAACTGTTTCCTAATTCTTCTGGAGGAAGCTCGACCACATCCGTCCATTTTTTGCTGCGAACATACCAAAGAAACGGATACAAAGCTGTGATTGAAGTCTTATTGCAAAAGGTCTGGGCAATGTACCTGCATAGCCGCCTGGGAGTGGCGAAGGACCTGCATTGTCGGCTGCATAGTGACTCCCAGCCCAGGGAACACACACACACACACACACACACACACACACACACACACACACACACACACACACACACACACACGGAAGGAGCAATATGCGTTGCCGGAAACTAGGTTGGGGGCTCAGGAAAAAAAAATAATTGCCAGATTTAGGATGGTTGCCAGGTGTTAGGCATGGGGCGGTGGTCGGTGAGGTATTAGGAAGAACTATCTGTGTTCTTACCAAGATGAGGGTGCAGGAGTCGGGCTTCGGTTCCTGGACCCCGTCTTTACAGCTGTCGGTCCTCTGAGGCAAGGGTTTCTGGACAACCTTTATCTGTTATCACATCTACATTTGAAACTGTGTATGAGGTCGCCTCTGTTGCTGTCTATATAAGCTTACTATTCTTGTACATCACACTTGCACTCAAGGGGAGCTTTCGAATGTTCCTAGTAAGTAGCTTATCTGAGTAACAAGTTTCCCTGTGTTAGGTAGTTGGCGACGTCAGTATGAATCACTTGTTTCAAGTATGACAGGTTGATGTACCTGATCAACCAGGCTGTGACTCATACGTCAGGCTGCGAGCAGCCGCGTCCAACAGCCTGGTTGATCAGTCCAGCAACCAGGAGGCCTGGTCGACGACCGGGCCGCGGGGACGCTAAGCCCCGGAAGCACCTCAAGGTAACCTCAAGGTATGACATGTGAGCATGTATGACGTGTGAGCATGTATGACGTATCAGCATATATGACGTACCAGCATATATGACGTATCAGCATATATGACGTATCAGCATATATGACGTACCAGCATATATGACGTATCAGCATATATGACGTATCAGCATATATGACGTACCAGCATATATGACGTATCAGCATATATGACGTATCAGCATATATGACGTACCAGCATATATGACGTATCAGCATATATGATGTGTGAGTATGTATGACGTATCACGACATAGGGAAGAAACTGGACATGGAAGCGAGTGTGGGAGTGTGAACACTTTGAGAGGAGAGGGAGAGAGGGCGCGGGGTGTGGACACTTCAGTCTCTGGTGTTACTGGGTCTCACTGGAGTGCTTGTGGGAGGTGTCTTGGGTCTTCCCGGTTTGCTTCTTAGGTGTTTCTTTGAGCGTTTAATGCATTTTTTTATTTAATATTTCCAAAGGTGATTTTTTGGTTAATATTAAGTGTTACACGGGTGTTTACTGGTCCCCCCCCCATCCATCCCTCTCTACCTCTCCAAGAACTCTCCTCTCAGTGAGGAATAGAAATTGGGAGAACAGAGGAAACAAACAATCGTTTGATAGAAGAATTTTAAGGGTGGGCACCTGACTCGTATTGTCAAAAGCATAATGAACGGAAGTTGGTTCTTGACAGGAGTGACCAGGCGAACACTTGACCGAGGTGGCCAATTGGACCCTTGACGGTATTATCCGCGAGTCTTCAGCCTTGATCGCCGCATCAACAAAACTACAAGATTGTTATGGAGATTTCCAGAGGTTCTATTTTCACATAAGAATTTACACGTCACGATGAAAGACGGAAATCGCGGTGTAGTTTGAGTAGTATATCTAACAACCGGATGATAAGCATCTCAGGTTTGCCATCATGATTATGCAGGTCGTTATTGCAGTGCTGCAGTTCCGACATTCATACACATTGCTTTTTTATACTGAACTATTTCCGTATTCTTCTGGAGGAAACTCGACCACAGCCGTCCATTTTTTGCTGCGAGCTTACTAAAGAAACGGATACAAAGCTGCGATTGAAATCGTATTGCCAAAGGTCTGGGCAATGTACCTGCATAGCCGCCTGGGAGTGGCGAAGGACCTGCATTGTCGGCTGCGGCTGCATAGTGAGGATCGTCCCAGCACGGAGACGATACACATGGTAACAAAGTGAGGAATGTGAACAGTAGTTATAAAAAATCAGGTTGTAAAGGAAGCAAGAGAACTTGCCAAGGAAACGACTGATAAAGATGGATAAACAAACATACACAGATAGACAGACAGACATAAAAGTGACAAAAAGCCCACCCCACTCTTCCCTGACGTTAATCCAAGCGACAAGAAGTGTCACGTTAGCCCGCTCAGGGACCTGCATTGAAAACTAAATTGTCTATTTTTTTCCCAGCACATGTCAGTGGGTGCTGGAGTGGGTGAGAAATGCAGTGTGTTGAACCCGTCCCCTCGGGCCGCTACCTGCATTGCTCTTGCCACTGTGGCCGGCCCTGTTGCATTGCCTGGGAACTCTCGGATAAGGGATGGGGAGGAGGGTCGGGGATTATGGAAGGAGAGTTAAACAGTGTCAGCTGAGTCGCTAGGCGACAATGATGACATTAACTAATGTTAACATATGCTATTGCTGACATTCAACAAAGTGCATTCGCCTATTTTATTATTTTTATATATTGCAATAAAAATCAATAGGGAATTTTATTGCGATTTTTTGTGAATTTCTGGTGTAACCTTGCAGTCACTAACATGCATATAATGGAATAATGAAATACGAAAGAGCAGATTATGTCTGTTGTCTCCCACCTGATGTCTGCGGCAAGAATGTCTCCCTCCCCCTCCCTCCCTCCCTCGCCGACTACCTAACACAGGGAAACTTGGTACACAGATGAGCCATTTACTAGGAACATTCGAAAGCTCTTCTTCGATGCAAGTGTGATGTGCAAGTTTAAAGAGCATGGATAGAAGGCAACAGAGACTAACTCCATATAAAGTTTTAAACACAGATATGATAACACACACAAAGTTTGGCATAAAAACCTTGCATCAGAGGACAGCTATAAAGATGGAATCAGGAGCTGAAGCCCGACCCCTGTAAACTCATTCTTGGTAAGAACACAGATATATCTTCCTAATACCTCACCGACCACCGCCCCATGCCTAACACCTGGCAACCATCCCATATCTGGCAATTATTTTTTTTCTCCGAGCCCCAACCCAGTTCCCGGCAATGCATATTGCTCCTTCCGTGTGTGTGTGTGTGTGTTCCCTGGGACGGGAGTCACTATGCAGCCGACAATGCAGGTCCTTCGCCACTCCCAGGCGGCTATGCAGGTACATTGCCCAGACCTTTTGCAATAAGACTTCAATCACAGCTTTGTATCCGTTTCTTTGGTATGTTCGCAGCAAAAAATAGCCAGATGTGGTCGAGCTTCCTCCAGAAGAATTAGGAAACAGTTCAGTGCCAACAACAAATAATCCGTATGAGTGCTTGAACTTCACTACCGACATGCAATTTGATGTTATCATAACTAAGATGTTTATAATGCTACTAAAGTTCAACCCGAGTAAATGTAAGGTAATAAAACTAGGCGGTGGAAACAGTAGGCCAGACACAGGATACCGAATGGGAGATGAAGTCCTTCACGAAACGGACATAGAGAGAGATCTAGGAGTTGATATCACGCCAAACCTGTCTCCTGAAGCCCACATCAAAAGAATAACATCAACGGCGTATGCAAGGCTGACTAACATCAGGACTGCCTTCAGGAACCTGTGTAAGAAATCCTTCAGAACCTTGTATACCACATATGTAAGACCAATTCTGGAGTATGCGGCCCCAGCATGGAGCCCGTATCTTGTCAAGCACAAGACGAAGTTGGAAAAGTTCAGAGGTATGCCAGTAGGCTAGTCCCAAAATTAAGAGGCATGAGTTACGAAGAAAGGCTGCGGGAAATGCACCTGACGACACTGGAAGACAGAAGAGTAAAGGGAGCCATGATCACTATCTACAAAATTCTCAGAGCAATTGACAGGGTAGATAAAGATAAACTATTCAA